CGCAGCCGAAGCTGCAGCCGCAGCCGCCGGTGCAGCCACAGCCGCAGCAGCAGCGGCGTGGGCGAAAAAAAAACATCGAATGTCGCAGGTGCTTTGCGTTTGTCATGTTTCAGCGTTTGGGAAGGTTTCCGGACCGTTGGCTTCCTTAGCTGGCCAAATCCTACCGCAGCGACCTCGAGATGACTTTCGAATTCCACAGGCGCTTCATCAATCGTTTTTTCAGCCGTTTTCTGCACATAGATTGCGGCCGAGCATGATTGCAGGGGGCTTTGGGGTGACTATGATCGCAATGCGAACTGGCGGTTAATCGTGGAATTGCAGGACGACAATATAAATCATATGAACATTTTTTGTTTGATGCTTTTGTGGCTGGTGCTGGCATCCTTCAGGAGAAAGCGACATACATACATGCATAGAAACCAAATAACAGCCAGCAAAATGTATGTAGAGCAAGTCTACCGGGAATCCCGCCTGTCTTCGCCATCCAACAATGCGGCCTGTGGCATATGACGTTTAGCATACAGAAATATGCCCAAGACATCGGCGAAAACACCACCATTTTGCCAATTGCGTTGTGGGGACAACTTGTTTGAAACTCATTGCGCCACGCCTCTGCCTGGATTACATGCATCAGGAGGATAACGGATACGCTGGAGAGGTCCAAAATGCCATGGCTGGTTTGATCAAAAAAAATCGTTCAGCGGTTATTACGCATTATTAAATCCAAATTCGGCATCACTTATGACAGCACACGGGGATTATTGACGGAAAGCATTGCGTGTCACAGCGACGATAGCTCAATGGTTGCCTTGTGCGTGATGACTTTTTGGCTGTTGGTGGAGGGTTTTGCTAAAGGACTTGCCAGGGCAGTATTCGTGAGAAGGCTCGTGCCCAATTTCGTCCCCACAGACATGCAGTGAGTTAATCGTGACGCCCAAAGCACATACGGCAAACTCGGCAAATGCAAAAGGAATCTTTTCAATGTGCGAGACTAGACTCGGCCCAAGCTGCTGTAGAAACAGTGGCTACAAGAGCGAAGTGGCCAGATCAGAAGATTCCCCCCCCCTTGCAGCCGGGCATTTTGCCGCGAGGCTGGAACTTTCTTTTCAGTTTCTCATGCTGGTCAATGCGTTTGGGTGCGGCGCGTGCCACCAGGGAGGGATGATGAATCCGATGCAAGCGCAGCAAATGATGCAGCAGCAACAAATGATGCAGCAAATGATGATGCAGCAGCCGTGGCCCCAGCAAGTGCTGAGCACAGATATCCGAGTGTCTCATCTGACATGGATGAAGGATGGGGAGCGGCAACGCTCCCGCAGTTGGTTCTGACAAGGCCAAGGCGGCACCAGCAACTTGCAACCATGGGCGTTCTGAGCAGCGCTGGATTTTGTTTGCACATGCACGGTAGCGACCCACTAATGACCAAGGCAATGAAGACGACCAGGAAGCAGGATGATAAGAGCAACATCGTATTCGTAGGTGGGTTGCGAAAAAGCACAACGGAGGACACTGGCAGTTCAATGGTGCACCTTGTGCTTGAGCTTTGCCTGCTGACCTTCCAGTTTTGCCTTCCCACTTTGGCCAGGACAAAGTGGCTGGTCACTTTTCCAAATTTGGACAAGTTGATAGTGTGATTGCCTCAGTTTGTCCTCCATGTGTGACCTGAAGCTTTGTTCGACCGCCTTTCCAGGTAGATATCAAGAGACTACCAGATGGCACATCTCGAGGGTTTGCTTTCGTGAAGTTCGTTGAGGCCGGATGTCATGGATTGTTTTGGTGTTTTGCCTGCTTCAACATGCGAATATGTTGCCTCAGCTGGAAAATCTTGAAATAGCTTGACATCCCGTCTTCTGGCATGTTGGCAGGTGGAGTCGATTGCCAAAGTTCTCGAAGCTCAAAGCAGCCACATGTTCCTTGGATGTTTGAGCAGGTACCTGTAGGTGAGTGGTGGGCCCGCTTCAAGCCTTCATCAAGGTTTAGGATGCAAGTGGTATGAAATTGCAGCTACACAATCTTTACTCAGGATTGACAACAAGTGGGTGGCGGTCAAGCCACATGGTGGCACGGCATTCACGGAAGATAAGAACCGGGAAAGAGCGAAGGCGCCCAGAGAATGGCCAGCCTTTGTTCAACATGTCCCGGACAAGTTGAAGCTGCCTGAGAGATTGCCCATGCACGACCGTATTTGGTGCCCTTCCAGTGTACCAATGCGGAAAAGTTTGTTGTGCGAACCTGCCATTGCGAGGCATGTGCAGCATCGAGCATAATTGCATGCATGGTGTTCCAACATGCGTAGACAACATATCTTTGCCCAGTGGATCCTCTTTGACAGGCACGCCTGTCAGGAGCCATTGGTAACATGAAGCGCAAATCAAGCAAGTCCTTAAGCTGCGGTCCGCGAGTGTGGCAGTAGTTTCATTAAAGTCAGCAAGAAGCTTTCCTTTTGCAGCACTGTAGTTGTATCTCTTAGTTTTTTTTCCGCTGGTTGCCAGGTGTTGAGAAGATGTTTCAGTGCGTGTGCTTTGTTGTGTGATGCTTTCGTCTTTCAGTACAATAATGCGGAGGCAGCTTTAAACGCAACAGCAGGAGGCTAATCTGGGTTGATTCATGCCGGGGAGAGATCATGAACGACGTAGCAAGGCTATGACAACAGAGCACATACTATTTTTTAAGGCATCATTTCAGGATTTCAGGTTTCGCTGCAGTACTAGCCTTGATTCTTGGCGAAGTGGTGCGCTCTCGACCACGCCCTCTTCGTGGCAGCTTTTATACATCTGTATGCCTCCCCAAAATTTTGTGCGGCGCATGACCGTCTGTAACTACGAGAACTGTAGACAAGCAGAAAGGGGAGGGAAACCGTGAGATAGTGGATCCGGCATGAGAAACCATGACAAGTGCCATTGCAGGGACGGTATCGGGCAGTAACGTGGGGCTTTTGAGCCGAGCAGTTCCGTTTGCAGAGATGCAATTCAAAACCTCATGCCAATGTATCCAATGTCAGAGAATTTTCAGGCTGGAACACTTTCCCCAAGCCCTGAGAGAGCAAACCACACGTCATGGGCAAAAACGTGAAAAGCATGACGTGCTTTACGTACTCGTATTGTGTTTCCTGAACATGATTCATGTGAAAGGTGCGGCATGCACCCCAGTGACCCTCGTAACCCGATACAACCTGCAAGCAGTCCACTGGCACCATTGTTCAACCGGCTTGAGAGAAGCATTTGCAACAGAGTGGCAGTGAGAAACAACACCCCCGACAAGAATCATCGTTGTGCCGAGTTGCGCCTTACTTATGTCTTGCTATGATTCTGCGGTTTCTGCAGTGGCGGTCCAAACATGCACCAACACTTGCCACTTGCGGTTGACTGATGCCAGGAGGCGGCAGAGCTGGCCCGACAGAAGCAAAAAAAGGCAGGTATCATGACAGCCTTTGCAGGTGTTAATCTTGCGCAGCATTTGTCAGCGTCTGTCAGAAGGACGACTCCAGAGTTGAATCCGCCGATGATTATGACGAGAAGTGGTCTGAGAATTACCTGCAGGTCAGGAGTTGCGCGCGTGTACTGCCCAATCGGCTGTAATTATGTGATCGCAGGCAGCTGCCAACATGGGCGCAAACAGCGGTGAGGACTCCAAAGGTGACGGACAGCAGGCCTTCCACTAAACGTGGTATACGCGTCTTTGCTGTGTTGGGTGCGGTTCAGTGTGTGTGCAGGCCAACCCAATGGCGGCCATGGGGGTCGGCAGCTCATGATTCGAGTGCAAACACGCGCCAAACTTGTGTTGTCCTGTCAAGACGCACTACTGCCAAGGCAATGATGCAGATGATGGGAATGATGCAAATGATGGGGGGCGGCATGCCAGGGATGTGTGGCGGCATGATGAACCCCATGATGAACATGATGGGTGGCATGGGCAAAGGAGCATGCCCGGCATGTCCGTCTGGTTGTGGCTGCGGTGGGTGCTGCGGTTGTCCTGGATGTGGCTGTTGCCCAGCAGGCTGTGCAGGCTGTGGTGGGTGTCCAGGTGGCTGCGGTGGCTGCCCTTGCGGATCTTCAGGCTGTGGTTGTGTGGGCGGTGGCAGTGGTAGCTGTGCTCCTGCATCTGTGCCGAACCCAGAGGACCTGCAGTACCCTTTTGGCATGCATACGTAATTACTCTAGCCTCTGCATTGCTTTGTATGACCCGTGCAGGAAGCTGGAGAGACCACCGGGTGTGGTCCCATAAAAAACGAGAGCAGCGCAACGGAGCAGCTTTGATCTGAGTATCTCTTGGAGTTGCAGCTCTCTACTGATGGGCATCTTTGCTTGACTTGCTCTTCAGGCGGTCCCAGCCGTACTGAGAAAGCAAGTGCAAAGCTGACACATCATGCTTGGCAAAGTACTTGCGTTCCACTCCACTGCGCTTGAGTCGCTTAAGGCTGTACCAGAATATGCCATCTTTAGGCTTCATGCAAGGCATGATCTAGCAAGCACTCTTTAGTTGAGTCTCTGCACTTTACTTTAAAGATATGTGTCGTGGGTTGTCCCGCACGTTGCGAGCACCGCTGAATAACTCATCCGCAACAACTCACTAGTCAGCAAAACATGATGTAGGCTACAGATTTGCGTGCCTAGCCTCAAAAGTCAAGTGATGCTCCAACTCGTGTTCTTAGACGGGCTTGATGCATGTCAAGCCCAGAAGTGTCGCCATCCGGTCTCACAATGACTAACAAAAAGTGTGTGTGCCTCGTTGACATCGCTTTGACTCTCATCCTCGTGACCTTTTGAACTGGCCAAGTGATTCAGAAACAGCAGCCTGTGGCTCTGGAATGAATCTGCCAAGGGCAGGAAGTAGTGCATATTGGGATTCTGAAGCATGGAACCCGGATGATCGTGTTTACGTTGGCGCCTCTACAGGCCAGCAGCGCCTGCCTCAGAACTCAGCACGCTGTGATTCGGGCTCTTTTCACGATGGGCCCACGAAAGGCATCACCTCCGCGCGGTGGCTCCTGCCACTTTGTCGGGCAAGTTGCGAGTTGTTTCTGCTATTCAAGGCATAGCAGAAATTTGTGCCATGTTTGTCTAAGATTAAGATGCCGCAGAAGTTTGAACAAGGACACAGCCGGGTGCGCCGATGCTAGCCAGTCCGACCAGGACCGCCTGAATTGTTTGGTAGAGGAAGCATGCAAACTGTGATGTCCACGTCACACGGGCTGCACAGGGTTTCGGCATGTAAGCCACGCGGAATACTCAAAAAATGCTGACTGGCTCGAAGCTGGAAAGGACTGATGGCCTGTGCATGCTAGTGATGTTGCTGGGACACCCTGCCCTCAGCAGATTTGGTTAACAAAGTCTGTTAGTCTGTGCTTTCGCCGCGTTGACGAACATAGGCACATCGCCACAATGGCCAGATCAAGAACCATTTGCATCATATCCGTACCGTTTTCCATGCATTTCCATGCAACAACTGCGCAGCCCACACACCCCAATGCGGGGCCATGTATTCCTTACGGGACCGCGACTTGACACCTCTGACCGAGGGAGCTGCCGCGTCACAAGCAGCCAAGACCGAACCATGGCTGGCAATGCTGTCTGAGAAAAAGGAGAGACCACCCACTGCTAGCGAAAGAGCTTCTCTGCCGGAGAGTTTTGGGGCCACCCCCTCAGCTGCTCAGCTCTACGGCAAGGCAAAAGGGCGCCGCGATGAAGTGCCGCCTTTGACAGGCAACCTGCCCACAAGGCAAAAAGGTTCACTCCCTGACAAAGGTGATGAAAGGGATGGGGACAAGACTGAAGCGAAGACCAGGCATGCTGGCGAGCTTGACGTCCTTAGAGCACAGCACGCAGAGTTGAAAGCATCTTACAAGGAGCTCAAATCTCGATTTGACAAACGAGGCCTGGAGATATCTAGACTTCATGAGAAGCTTCGCAGACTTGAAAAGGCGGCTGCTGTGCCACCCCAAGTGAAAGAGCCCGCTATCAGTGGGTCAAACAAGCTGCTGTGCCGACAAGCTTGCTGCATACCGTTAATTCGCTTGGAGAAGGCTGGCCTCAACGTGGAAGCTGTGCAGGATTTGGATGCCAAGTGGGCAGGTTACGTTTTCAGCTTGCTCACAGTGCAAGCCAAGGCATCTGGCATGACGCTGTATGAGATCTTTAGAAAGCATACCGATGCTCATGGTCGGATAGGGGAATCCGCTTTTCGCAATTTGATTCGGCAGTTCATCCCGACCATGTCGGAGGAGCGTCTTACTCGATTGTTTTATTTTGCAGACACCGATGGGTCTGGCATGCTGAACCTTTTAGAATTCTTGCGTTTATTTGGCTTTGACATGGATGGGAAGATGGGAGAGGAGTACTTTGAGCATGTGATGGTTCGCATACAGAAAGCTGTGTCCAAAAATGGAGGCTTCATGAACGTTTTGAAGCTGAACGACAAATATTTAAATGCGCTGTGCAGCCGTCAGAAGCTGGTAGATTCAATCAGCCCGCTTGCCCCGAGTCTGACCCGGGCTGAGATCTACGAGACCACAGCTCGATTTGTTGTGCCTTCCTCAGGCGAAGTCAACTTGCGCGATTTCAGTGATGCCATGGAGCTATGCGCGTCGTCAGCTTTCGTTAGCGAGGATTGGGTTCACAAGCTGTTCAAGCAAGTATCAACCACGATTCAAAAACAACACAATTTGAAGGCCATGTTGAAATCACTTGGTCCCCAAGGTACGCTTGGGAGAGAGGACTTACGAATCTTTCTGCGCCAGTTCCAGCCAAACCTTTGTGACAGCCATATCAACAGAGTCTTTGGCTTCCTGAGTGCCAGTTGCCCGACTGGCGCAGGAAACATTACAGTGCACCACTTGCTGGATACAGTTTGTCGGCCCACTCTTGGGCCAGTAGTTGGGGCTGAGCAGTCCAGACTGCCACTGGAAGACACCTCTCGGTTGACAGTCCAATTAGCGCAGCTCTGTGGAGGACTAGACCAGGCCTTTGATCACCTCAATCCTTGCCTGCTTTACCCGGAATTTTGTACTTCCCTTCAATCGCTGGGCTTCAGCAGCGCCTTTGACTTTGAAAAGATTTTCTCGGTTCTGGATGTTCATCGGAGCGGTCGCGTCTCCAAATCCCTGTTTCTCTCGGTTTTAGAACGCTTCGTTCGCCCTGCAGAGACAGAGAGGTCAGACAGTGAACATGATCCACCGCGCTCCAGCTCCACACGGAAGCATGCCTTGGAAAATGAGCGCGCGGCAGATGACCTGGCGGATCGACTGCAATATCTGCGTGAAAGCTTTCAAGCTCGTAAGAATGTGGGCAAGAATCCGACAGTCTCCGCCGCTGTTCATGACGAGCTTCTGCATGAGCTACAGCGGGCGGTCAATCGTCTCCTTGTTCTAGAATCAGAACTGCAATATCGCCAGCGACAGGAGGAGCGTGACGAGATCCACATGCGGAGAGGACTTGTGGACCAATTGCGGGAGTTGGAGACTGCGCATGCGCGCCTCATGTCCAAGCTCAAGCTCCAAGCGGAAAAGCTCACAGGCCTCACCAGCGGCCAGAAGACAGCCGCTGATGTCACTCGCGAAGCTTGGGAATCTGGATACGGTGAAGCGGTCACAGAATACCAGTCACAACTGGAGGAACTCCAGCAAGAACTCGACATAGCAAAGTTGGAGAAGCTGCGCTTGCAGACTCAGTTGCTGGAGAGCAACGAGGAGCGCAGCAGACATGATCTTACGCGGTCCACTGACATTCCGGACAGCACAGCATTAGTCAGAATGACGGACCTGAGTTATGAGCGCGCAGATGCCAGAGCACGAGAAGATGCAGAGGGAACATTGCGCGAGGCACTGGGTGGCTTTGCATACGTGCGAAACATCGACACCTTGCTTTCCAGAGTCAAGGGCATTTCTATTGCTGGTCGCTTCATCATCAAGACTGTATCCACTTTGGAAGCAGATGCAATAACGCTGGCATGCTCAGATGCCTTTAAAAAGCGCGAGGTCACGCTGAAAACTCCCATCGCAGATTGTGCTAAGACTCGCGCAAACTTCTTGCGAGAATGTTGTGTCTACACGGCGCTTTCTGATGTGGCAGAGGTCCAGACTGTCATACATTTTCCTGGTTTGACTGCTGGATTGGCATATTGCGTGATGGAGCTTTTGCATGGCAGACTTCTGTCGCAGCATTTGCAAAGCGTTCGGGCAGGCCCTGCGTTGGGCTGGTATTACTTTGCTGGGGTGTGGGGAATACTGCAGCTGGAAGTCATTCTCACAACTTTGGCAGGACGTAGCCTTCGGACAAGCCCTCTGGTCACACTCACTACTTTGTTGCAAGCAAAGCCCAAAACGTTCTTAAGCTTCCTCTTGGCTCAGACCTAGAAGTCCTCATCTTTTGTCATCTAGGTAGCTACAAGAGCTGCATGCTCGACATCCTAGAGTTCATAAAGTTGGTAACGCTGAGTGTCCAGACTCTCCAACTAAGATCGCATGCCTGGACATGTGCTGCTGCAGGTGATGAAGAGCCATTTCCAGCACATGAGGCTGCCGACATCTGCGACGCAATGCTGCACGGGATCGAAGCATGCCACGCCCGTGGAGTCACTCATTTGGACCTTAAGCCATCTGTGATCTGGGAAGTGGCGCAACCTGCCGGCGTTGTGGTGAAGATTCTGGATTTTGGCCTGGCCAGACTCTCCAACCTGGCATTGCTACCCCCAGATGCGAGGCAGTTTTGCAGGCCTGGCGGAAGTGAGGATGCCGCACATGCCGCCAACCCTCGGCTGCACTTCGATGGTCTTCCGGAGGCGTCTTCACCAGATGCTACCCCAAGGGCCTGGGAGCAAATTGCACCATTTGCCAGCTTGCCTGGGGTCGGCTCCCCCTGGTACATGTCTCCAGCACGTTGGTGCGGACTTGCAAACAAGTTGCAACAGCCGGCGAGTGCCCAGCCAGTTCTACAGTTGTGCAAGATCTACTCAGGAGGGAATGTCTGGATCGAACGCGAACAAGGGCAGGATGTTTTGGGTGTTGGCAAGGCTTGTGCAGGTTCTTCTGCTGTCCAAGGTGCCAGATGTGCCGCACAATTTCCAGAAGGAATGTATTTCGAGGTACAAATCCGGAAATTGTGGCCTGTCTCAATGGCAGCCCCAGGAACAGAGTTGGGAATTGGACTGGCCGTGGGATTCACACGGACACCGTCGTCTGGAGTGCCTGCACTCAACGCTCGTGCAAAGGATTGGCCAGGCTGGGTGATAGGTTATGATGGGCGGTACTACCACGATGGCCAACCTGTGGCTCCAGCAGTTGATGCGCCCCAATTTGCACTTCTTGAGTTCCGTCGTCGCAGAGAAGCTAAACTTGCTGCAGCTGGCAGCGAGGACACAGATTGGCCAGCGGGTCCATTGGGATGGTCATTTGCCGAGCTGCTCCGAGACGATGTGCTGGGGTTGTTAGCCACATCCAATAGCCTGGTTATCTATGTCAATGGGCGGATTGTTTCAAGCATAGCTGCGGAGGGGATAGGTGATCCTGGCCCGCTCTTCCCTTTGATCGAGGTCTGTGGGGTGGTGCGGGAGCTTGCATTCTTCTCAAAGCCATCTGGCCCCGGTGGAGATGAAGAGCTTGACGAGCGCCTCAGGACGAAAGACCGCCAAGTCACGACAATTGAAACCTTAGCTCCGCGTTCTTTAAGCCATTTCTCTGATGTGTATGCGGCAGCCATCATTGCCATGCAGCTCTTCCAGAGTGATGCTCTACCAGAAGCGTCACCTGGCTTGGTGCAGCTCCTCCTTGCGACTCAGATGTGGCTGGAAGATGGGCGGCCACCAGTGTCTGACCACAATGGCATGCTCCTGGCATTGACAAACTGGGCGGTTTCCGTTGGCGAGCAGACCAGCATTTCGGGGCGCAGCTTGCCTGCCGAGATCGAAGATGTCATTCACCGTGTTTTTGAGTCGAGCGGTGTGGCCACTACCTCGCCAGCCAGAATGATCAGAACAGCTGACGAATTCCGGTCCGCGCTGAACGAGCAGACAGCGTGTAACCATGTCTCGCAAGAGTTCTTGCGGAGCCACATTTCACAACACGTGGTGCCGACTGCTAAGTCCAAGAAAATATCCACAAAGGGCATGCAAGGTGATTCCAGTGGGCTCGATCCTGCAG